GGCTGCTATACATAGACCTACCGGAAGAAGTAGTATCGTCTGAAATTGAATTTAGCTCTCCTGAGCTGAGATATTAACAAACATACGCAAACCATTTATATTCAATAACATTGCAGAAAAAAAAAAACGAAAGCCTAATAAACAAAACTAGTTACTAAATTGATGAACCTTGAAGATGATGGTGATGGTGATTCAAAAATTGCTACAAATGTGAAACCTGGTCTTTGTTTTTTCAGCTCCTCAATAGGAAATCTACAACACACAACAGTGTTAATATATATAGATAATTAGAAGAAAAAATAGATTTAAATGAACAATTCGTAACAAAAAAAAAAGAATGAACAAACCAATCAGTTACCTTGGTTCATAAGTCTTCTTGCCTCCTTCAGAAACTAAACCTTCGATGCCTGATATGTCCTATTTGGAGAAAACGAAGAAGACAGATTATGAGTTATACAAAAATTTTACTTGTTTCTTAGGCAAATTTACAATAACAACTTACAATGAGCCGAAAGGATTTGAAGTCTCCAGCGAGTAATGAATTCAAAAACTGCAAAACTTCTTCCTGAATTCCAATTTTCGGTCAAAACTCACTTGTGTAACATTAAGTAAACAAATACAAAACTAAAACAACTTGTGTTTTATATCCTTTACCTCCTTCAGATCATAGCAGTTTTGCAATATTAGAGTCTCGAGTGGACTGTCTTTGCAGCTAAGTCCCAAATCCCTACCATCAAAATCTCACGCCATAAGAAATTTGACAAATACTTAAAGATATAATCATTAACGTACAGAATGACATGAACCTCAAAAAGCAACCGTTAATTTGAGAATAAGACAGATTCATGTACTTCAGCTGACGAAAACCCTGCAAAAGCATCCCAATATTTTATGGTTTTATAAGAACATACAGATGGTAGTGTACCAAATGAAAATGAGAAGAAACACCATGAAAAACAGGAAGAGCCATACCGTAATGATAACTCGGGCTACTGCGTCATTTACCCCAAAACGTAGGAGCGTTAGCGAGGTTAAGTTGGGGCAGTTACCCACAAACTCCACCAAGCTTGAATATGCTGTAGAGCCTATACAACCAGTTACAAAGTAGGTCACATTGAGCAAACATCAAATGACATCAAATACAAAGGAAAGCTTTATAGTGGAAACATTTACCCACTAGAATATAGTGCTCTATGAACAGGTGCTCGATCAAGCGACAATTTCTCGTCAGTAACCCTAACTTCTCCAGTGGATTAATCGTATCACCTGAATCACTAAATAATACAAAAAGTGAGAGAATCAACCATAAGGAATCAGCAAATTTTAAAGTGAGCAGACATTGGAGTAACAAGAACAAAAAATCAAGCATAGAAGATGACGCCTCCAGGCAAAGTAAGGGGAAGCAACCATGAAAAGGAGAATCATGAATTTCAGGGGACCCATAACAACTTACAATCCAAGAATCTTCAAATCTGTGAGATTTGAACAGTCTGCCAATGCAGCACATAAGGACTTGAAATCCAACCGTACGAGATAGTAAAGGTGTAAGCTTCTCAAGAGACCCCTAGTTGAATGGAGAAAGATAGTACTGATCAGAAGATCACGTACAGTTATTAACTGAAAGCAAATACTCAAGCGATAAGAACTGGTAAACCTTATTCTCTATATGGTTGTTTCAGACAGGACAAATCAGATTAAAACAACAGGTATGGTACATAAATTATCACTAGTATAAATTGGTAATCAAGCTAATACCCAGCAAAACCATGATTAAAAGATAATGGGGCAAGACAAGATCTTGTAAGCAAAGATCCAGCCCCAGCTGAGCGAAAAATACAACCAAGTTTGAGGGATCTGCACGGATAAACGAAACCTGAGAGATTAGTACATAGACCAAGTTCCACCACAGAAGAAGATAACATAGAAATACAAAATTTCACCTGAGTTCTTTTCCGGCCCGATGGATCATAATACACACAACCCCATTATCAACATGATTGGCAGACATTGTCAAATCGATGTGGGAGTAGCATACACGGTCCATGGCACACTTGTTGAACATCGTGCAGCATACAGAAGCTTGCATTAGAGACTTTGCATCAAGCATTGAAAAGACCTGAATGTGCATTAGAAACACATTATATGAGACATCAATCAAGAGAACAGAGTTTCATGAGCAAAGTATTATTTGAGCATTCTCAATTTGTTACTTTGACGATGCGATCAGGCGTGTAAAGCAGGAAAAGAAACAGGGGAAACTCTACAAACAGATACATGATATCAGAATTCTGGATTTATTACCTTAGTGGTTAGTTCAGGGAGGAGAGGCCATGATATGAAATTATGGAGGGTGGCACGCTTCCTGATGCACCGTTCGGTTGACTTGTAAAGAAGGGATGCGAGTTGGAGAGTACGATCCAGGAAGCGATCCCGATCGAATTCATCACCGGAAGTCTCAGCGGCTGAGGGGATAACTTTATCAAGCACTCGATCAAAGGAGCAGCCAATGGAGAGCGACGAGGAGAACAAAGGCAAGTCCGGCAGTGAGAGAAAAGAAGAGATAGTCGAATCAACGTCACTCTGGTTAAAACCAGGAGCAATAGGGAAGGAACTAGTGTTTTGGCTGGAGGAGGTAACCGAATGGACATGGCAAGGTCGCTTAGGATTAGGAGCATCCATGACACAGAAAGTTATCAAAAGAGTCTGTTTGAAAGGGGTGAATGCAAGACGGAGACTTTATATCCAAACGCTCAAAATGATCATATAAGCAATCCTGAGGACGTCTCACCTTCACTGTAAGTCTGCAACAAATACTTCACCCCTGAAGATATTACGAAGTTATATGAGCAGTCCCAACTACAACAACTTTTCAACTCTAGCTAACACAAATGCATTCCCAACTACAAATCCTATAACGCACACAATTGTATAAACCCTCGAAAAATCTGGAATCAAAGATAATACTTCAAAATTATCTACCAAACGAAGGAACAACACTTCTAAACATATTCGTTACAACAGATTGAAAAACGCACAGAACAAAGTAGAGAGAAATGGTGCCCAAATTCTCACGAACAATGCATTTTGTTTCCTTAGAAGTTTCGATTTAGGCATAGATCATGGTTTCCAAAATCAGCAACAGTGAACAATTTCGACAACTATCTATTGCTTACATTCATAGTGATTAGTGACTTACCAGAAGATGGAATTGTGAAAACGGTCGCGAGATTCCACAGCACCGTTAAGCAAAATCGAGAAGACGAGAGACAAATTAGAGAACACGATCAGCCATTGAAGCGATCATGGTTTAGTGTTTCTCCGTCGAATGTGGCGGCTATGGCTACGTCGGAGACGAGGAGGCGTACATGTTTGTGAGAGACGATCGGAGAATTTAAGATCCGAATACTTAACCCGACATTTTGAAATTGAATCCTTGGGTTTAGCTTGTTGGGCCACAATATAATGGTTTCAGGCCCATAGAAGCCCAATTTTCTAAGAAGGAAAAACCGGTTTGGTTTCGATTCCGGTTTTTCCAATTTTTTGTCTTCTTGATTTTACAAAGGAAATTGAGAACAATTCCAATTTGGTTTGACTTGGTTACGAGAACACAATTTTGGTTTTTTTCTAGTTTGGTTTCGGTTTAATCATTCTTAGAACCACAAACCAAATAGAACAACAATCCAACAAAATACACACACACACAAAATAAGAAAATTTATCAAACGAAATCCATTAAAAATTAACATGAAACACATAGTCATCATCTCCACATAGATTTTTTCAGAGTTCTGTTTTTCACATAATCTTCTTACAAATCATAACTTTGTTTCCCAGTGAACTTAACTTCAATGGGACTAACATTTTTCCCAATAGATCTCATATTCAGACCAACACCTTCTCTTCCCGGATTCGCCTTCTCTGGATAAACACCATCTTTAGGATGCAGATACTGAACCTCACCATTTGGAAAAACTCTGTAAAACTGGTAATTAATCTTGTACTTGGACCTAAGCCTTGTCCCCAAAGCTAAACACTGTTCTTTCCTCGCTAGCTTCAACAGATTCGGACCTTCTCTCATGATCGCTGCACCTCCTGTCGGCATCTCAAAGATCTGTTCTTTCGGTGAGTTCCATGTAATCACGTAGAACTCTTCCACTTGTGCTTTCCTTAGAAGACCACCTGTGCTTCCCGCGAAAATCGGAGACGGTGTGTTTGGGTCTAGCTGCGGCGGTGTGAATCCCACCGGAGCTTCTTTCACGGCGGCGGCTGGAGCTGCGGAGGAGGAGGACTCTGTTTTCTCGGCGCGGATTGAGGTTTTGGTGAAGGAGAGAGATTTCGGACGGTGGGTTGTTGTGAAAAAGTGGAGCTTTTTAACGCCGGAGGTTGCGGCGGTTGTTACGGCGGAGCTAAAGATTCCGGCGGCTTGAGTTGCCA